TAAGCAAAATTATACTTTATGTAAATGACACCTGCCAGTAGCTTCTTTAAAGGGGCAAGCAGAGAGTAACATTACTTTAAGCCATCGATCTGTGGGGCTTACACAAGTATAAAGGATCTTCTTGATCTTACCTTCTCCAAAGTCATTTCAGGCTGAACTACTCAACATGGTGTTAATGTGAAGATCCTGCAAGAGCACAGTTTGTATTTTGCATATGAATGTTCTCCTTACACCTCCATGTTCAGCCACACCTAAAACTTGGTAACTTTGAAAGGAAATATTGGTAATATAACAATGGCCTGACAAGCTATAGCAGCTATATAGAATCATAGAGTTGTAGGACTGGAAGGGACCTCAAAAGATCTTTTAGTACAGTCCCCTGCACTCATCCTGCAGAGATCCTGAAAACAGCAGGTTACTGTTATGGGCTATGACCAAAGAAACTATGTTTTGTAGGATAATAATCTTTTCAGACCCCTTTTCTTATCCTTCTGTGATTTCCTCCCAAACCTGAAAAGAAATTTTAGTTTCAGCACGTGGGTGAAAGCAGTGAATTAATAGCAATAAAACATATATGGATGTCTGCTATCCAGCAAAGAATAGATCTTAACATTATTAATGACAGCAGGAGCACCTCCTTGGGCCCGCAGTGTTTTACACTCTTCTCACTGAGGGAGATTGACAGCCATTCCCCCCCAGTACAGCCCATGAGTGAGTGAATATCATTTTAATAGACTGCCCATAGTAGCAGTCAAAGCAGTTTTGCAGCTTTCAAGCTCAGCATGAAGTGAAATCTTAAAGAACGTTTCAAACTGGCCATTAAGCATCCGGCACAACCACAAAACTGAGGCAACACAAGGAGAGAGCAATTCCCTGGAAATATGGATCATGTTTTGCAGCCAGCTGCAGATCAAATAACTAGTTTCCTCTATAACCAGCAATTATCTGCAGGGTGCTGAAAATTCTCTCCCTAGTTTTCTAAGTGTATCTCTGCAAGAAAGTAGTTAATGACTGGACTCCATGCAGTGTTCTTTTCTAATGAATGAATATCACTACTGCTAAACTGTTGGGTTTTTTTAATGCATATCGTATATGACTACATAGAAAATCAAATGATATTTCCATAGAGCTTCCATATTCACGATGTAAGTGGCTCTCTGGATTAAAGCGTATTATAATAGTCTTATGGCTCAATAGCAGGTATTGCCTATAATTCATTAACTAGGCAAGAGATAAATAAATCAGTTATTCATTGCCATCCGTATGTTTGTTTGTTTTTCTTGGGGGGTTCTACATAAAAGCTCACTGAAGCAGAAGCAAAGAGTTTTGTTTGATAGACATTTGACTCCTACAGCCAAACCTGAGTTGTCTCTTGTAGCTGGCTGGTACACAGAAATATTTCTTTTCTCAGGCTGAGAATAGAAGCTCAGATAACTAAAGGTAGTTAATGGCTACCTTTTCTTTTCTGTTTCCATCCTGGGAATCAGCTAAGACCTAAGTGAAAAAAGCAGGTCAAATGAGATCAAATTTCTAAAAAAATATTATCTGAAAAATAATTTATAATTAAAATAACTGAAAATGAATCTTTTATAGAGAAACTACATAAAGAGGAATTCTAATTTGAAAAACTGTCAGCCAGATCTATGTAAAACACAGCTTATAAGGGAAAAATGACATTTTCCTTTGTTGTCTCATGTGATAGACCTGTTTCTTGTTTTGAGAGCTATCTTAATATGATTCAAAGTCAAGTCCATTCATATTTATAGGAGAGGGCTTTTGTAAGATCATGTATGTATGGCTATGAATAGCAAAGAGAAACATTCAGCTAGATATTCATCTCATATCAACTCCTAGTTAATATCTGATATCTCCAAATTTGCATGACATGTGATAAATTATTTCGTATGTCAGGCAAAGACTGGTAATCAGTGTTGGCAATCAGTAATATTCATTAGCCTCGTTTTCTACACAAAAGTATATTAGGGAAAGATTAGCTGGTTTACGTTGTCCTTTTGCTTACGGATGCAGATTGTTTGTGATTGGTGAGAGAGGAATTGTGTGTGATTCTGAAGAGGTGAATTACCCAAAATAAATGTATTTCCTAAGTTCAAGTTTCCTTCCTAGGAAGCTGTAGTGTTTGAATATGAAAAATATTTTGTTTAGCAAGATATGCTTATAGAGCTATGGCACCTCACCCATCACATGACCTCAATGAGTAATAATCCTTCTCAGAGGGTTGAGAAGGCCAGGTTGGAAGACCACAAGGAGATTGTTACTTTGAACATAATTTCTTCAGAGAGGTCAGTTGGTAGTTGTGTACTATGTTTGACTCCTATACAAGAAATAGCTGAAAATGTCGACAAACAAAAGGCTTTTAAAAGATACATCCCATTGCTGCTGTCTTTCACTCTGGATGTTTGTATTGTATTTTGTTATAAGAGTCTGAATAAAGGTTGAAAAGTAAAACAAATGCCGTACAGTGAAAGAGTGGCGGACACACTTTGGCTAGCACGCTGACTGCGTTAGCTTTTCTCAGTATGATGTGATGCTCAATTAGCTGTGAGACAATGGCCTTGTGGCTAAGGCACTAGACTGAAACTCAGTATATCTGGGTTTAGTTCCCAGGTAATTAGGGCCCTACCAAATTCACGGTCCATTTTGGTCAATTTCACAGTCATAGGATTTTTAAAATCATAAATTTCATGATTTCAGCTATTGAACTCTAAAATTTCACCATGTTGTCATTATAGAGTCCTGACCCAAAAAGGAATTGTGTGGGGGATTGCAAAGTTATTGGGGGGGTGAGGGGGGGTTGCGGTACTGCTACCCTTACTTCTGCGCTGCTGCTGTCAGCAGTGCTGCCTTCAGAGCTGGGCGCCACCCTGAGTTCTGCCCTGCTGCTGGCTGGGCACTGTCTTGAGAGCTGGGCACCCAGCCAAAAGCCTCTGCTCTCCAGCCACCCAGCTCTGAAGGCAGCACAGAAATAAGGGTGGCAATACCATACCAGGTCCCCCCTAAAATAACCTTGCGACCCCCGCTGCAACTCCCTTTTGGGTCAGGATCCCCAATTTGAGAAACGCTGGTCTCCACTGTGAAATGCGTATAATATAGGGTAAAAGCACACAAAAGATCAGATTGCACAGGGGAGACCAGATTTCACGACCCGTGATACATTTTTCATGACTGTGAATTTAGTAGGGCTCTACAGATAAGCTAACAAGGCTCAGATTTTTAAAGTATTTAGGTGTAGTGCACTCAGCATTGAAACTTCTCACTGATTTAGAACCCTAAATCTCATTTTAAAAAGGACTGTAGGAACTTAGGTGTCTAAATCCCATTGACTGTCAATGGGATTTAGGCTTCTAAGTGACTAAAACCCTTTTGAAAATGAGATGCAGGCGTCTAAATCAGTCAGGCATTGCAATGCTGAGTGCCTCAATGCCTAAATACCTTTAAAAATCTGGGCCGAGCTTCCTAAATTCAATGGGAAAGCCCACTGAAGGCAAAGGGAGTCTTCCCATAGATTTCAGTGGGCTTTAGATCAGGCCCTTAATCTCAGTTCCTCATCTATAAAACAGGGATAACCGTGCCTTCTCTGTCTGTCTTATCCCTGGTGTACACAACAGAGTTATGTCAACGCAAGGCAGCTTACGTGGACCTAACTCTGTAAGTGTCTACACTAAAATGTAGCTCCCATCGATGTAACTCACCCCTACATTAACTTAACAACTCCATCTTCAGACAGGCATAGCATTTAGGTTGATGTGGTTATGGTTTCACAGTGTCTGTGTAGACACTGTGTTACTCACATTGCATGTTGGTTGTCAGTCCCAGGTGGGGCTGACAGCTGGAGCCCTGCCTTACTCTGTGTCTGTACAGTGCTTAGCACACAGGGTTCTGATTTTATTCGGACCTATAGATGCTACAGCAATACAAATAATAGTATTTGCTAGTGATTGATTGAAGAATCCTCATGTGCTATGAATTGAGCACATCAGCACTGGGGATTGAAAAGGCAATTCCAGACAAGAACACACTCTTACTATCACACACAAATTCAGAGCAAAGAAACGTTTTCCCTGAAGCAGTTGAGCTGCACCTTTCTTGCTGTTTTCCTGCTACTGGATGCCCAGATGTGGTCTAGATATAGCTGAATCTCCACCCTCTGAGCTCAGCAATGAGAAATATGAAAAAATGTGGCTTGGTGTAGGTGTTGGAACCAAAGAACCGGGGGCCAGAACGAAGAGCTAGAAGACACAAACATAATTACTTGAACGAGAACTCATTTATAAACGACCACAAGAAGTGGAATTAGTGGCCTCTCAAGTGCAGATATTCTTCCATTATTTCTGATGTAGAAATCTTGACAGAAAAGGCGAGATGCTTTCTCACAAGATCACCTGCCCGAAGAGGGCTGTTCAGGGACGCCTCTGCCGCCTTTTGATCTTCACTCATCGCTTTAGTGCCTCAAATAAAGGGACAAACTCTGCTGCCTGTCTCACATATGTAACTTCCATTGATTTGTATATGTTTAACTGCAAGCAGAATTTGGCTCACAGGGTCCAAAACCTTCACTTCTTTCCCCACCTCCTCCAGCCCCCCCCCCTCAACTCTTCCATAGGGTTTTGACCTGAGCAAGAACTGCTTGATCAGATCCTGTGGCAATAAAAGGCCACATTACCACAGTGTGGCTTCCACATGCACACTGCAAACCCTACCATCCCCTTTTGGCAGCAGTCACACTAGAGTGCACAGCCTTTGGGTCAGTGACAGACTAACGTCTCCCTGCACAGAATTAAACAGGCACATAAGGAGGTTGGGTTGAGGGCCCTCTGGAAAACGAGTCTCACAATATTTTTCATTTACATGGATGTTTTTTCTCTGTGTGTATGCTCTTTATTACTATTATTATTTATTATTCAGATCATTTTTTCCATTTTTAATTCTGTTTGTGTGTTTTCGTTTCCATTTATTCATTTCTGGACCTGTTGTATTTTCAGTTGATTTCATAGGCGGACTTGACACATACTGCTATCGGCAACACCCTCTGGAACATGTTGAGTTAAAGCCTGTAAGTAAGGTTTCAGTCATATGGACAATATTAATCCTTCTAACTGGACTGAAAGCTACTCTGCTGCTCAAATAGTTTTGACATGAGATTACTAATGATTTCATTATAATTTACCACTAAACGTGCTAAAACACGCTACGCTTTACGGCTCAAATCCGCCAAAGCAGCAATGAGTGGATATTTCTCATTTTATTATGACTTATTTGTTTTTACACTATGTAGTGTTGGGGTTGGCATCAGTGGGTTCAGAAACACTGAAGGGAAGAAATTCTTCTCTGCCAGCTGGGAAACAGGAATAGTGTAAGTATGTTACTGCACCTGCCGCAGTGCCTAGGCCTTAATGCAATGACCCTTAAAGGAGAGGCAGAAACTCTTATTTTTGTCCAGATTTGGCTGTCTACCAAATGTGTTTCATAGACTAATCTGTAGAAAATGACTTGCTGAGCCAATGCAAGTTCACCAAGATAAATCCATGGAGCATCACTAAAACTCAATTATCTTTTCACCACAAGTGATTTGCTTCCACAATTAAAATGCCATTGTTTCCATAGTTTATTCAAATAAAATATTCTCTAGTACATAAAAGACACACTTCCAAAATGTTCCTTTTTTTTTTTTTTTTTTTTGTATTTGGGGTAAATCTATTCACTAGCAGATGTTAGCAATGCATCAGTTTGGCAGAAGCTCAGATACCTTCAGACGAGGGACACTTCAAAGTACATTTGCAAAATAGATCACTTGAAAATTCTTGTCAGGTGTTTATAAATTGCTGTCCTGATCCTGTGTGTCATGAAATTCACATCAGAATCTTCCATGCATAGTAAGATGAAGCCAAAGTGCAGCTGACTAACCGAACTTAATGTGACACAATTTACTGTGTTTTAACTAGCTGGTAAGAGAATTAAAGGTTATATTTTAAAAACTATTTATTTAGAATGTTTTCACAAGTTTACAAATTCTTACCATATAAATAACTGAAACAAAACAATCATTATAACTGTTAGTTTTTGTTTAAAGATGCATTATACAGGTACATAGTTATCAGACTTTTCTAGTTAACACGGTATCACCATGTTATAGGGTGAGCATCATTACAACACTTATGTCATTTCTAGTGATTTTATTAAATTGTGTAAAATCACTATATACACATTTAACAGACCAGATATGTCTATCAAATATTAATATTCAAAAAAATGGATAGGCGTGCTGTCTTTTCTGCAGGTGAATGTACTTTGTCTGAGTACTGAATAAAAGGTAACCAAATATCTAAATATCATTCTCTGTCCTCTGTCTTTTTCAGATTGTTTTTGTTTTCCTGGTGTATGTGTTGGGGGATTGGAAAGAGATCTAGGGGGAGACTGTTAATTTAAAGAGAACTGTTACTAACACAATGTTTGGGTTGGACATTTGCTCCCTGCAATCTGAATTGAGTTTTCATTACTCTTAGAATGTTGTCAAATATAGATGTTCACCAGCATTTGGTTGTAGAAATGTACATGAGGAAGAATGTTTCAATCTTTTTTACCGTTACAGAGAGACTATATAGTATGGAATTATGAAAGCCCCGAAAGAATAAGAAACAATTGCAATTTAATAGTGTGGGAGTGGAAGAAGTATCAAATTAAGACAACTAATAAGGCAAAGTACTGATCCATTTATGATCATATTGCTAGGATCTGCATTTACAAAAGTATTCCACTAAAAAGTTGTCTACACATGGAGTCATTCTGGAATAACTATTCAGGATTAGCTACTCTGGAATAACTATTCCTGACAAAATCCAAGGGTGGACTCTCTTTTCTGGTATAAGAGTGCCTTTTTCCAGTATAGCTTAATCCATTTTGGATTAATCTAAACTCAAACAAGGTATTCTTACTCCTGAATAAGAGTGTCCATGCTTGAAGTTAGTCAGGAATAGCTTTTGTGCTTTAAATTCACACTCTACCTTGAAATAACTTTCAAGTGCAGATAAGCCGTAAAGTAATGCTTTTGTTGCACTGTGACGTGGGAGGAATGGCAGGGGCATGGGTTTATTAAGTACTCTGAGGGCATGGCTACACTTGCAGATGTAGAGCGCTGTGAGTTAAACCAGCCCTCGGAGAGCGCAGTATGGAAAGTGCTGCAGTGTGTCCACACTGATAGCTGCAATCGTGCTGGCGTGGCCACATTTGCAGCACTTGCAGCGGCATTGGGAGCAGTGCATTATGGGCAGCTATCCCACAGAGCACCTCTTCCCATTCTGGCGCTGTGGCTTGTGGGAAGGGCGGGGAGGTGTGGGGCATTCTGGGTCCTGTCCCAATGCCCTGCGATGCATTGGTTTTCATCCCAGCAATCTCTGTGCTTCCATCCACAAAGTGCTGAGGAATATGCTGATGAGTCTCGCCAGCACTTCATGTTTGGCAGTCGAGTTACTTCTTAAGCTACAAACTGACAGTGAGGAGTCCGACGATGATATCGACTCGAGTAACACATATGACACAAGATTGCTTGTGGCATTCACAGACATTCTCACCACCGTGGAACACTGCTTTTGGGCTCAGGAAACAAGCCCTGAATGGTGGGATCACATTGTCCTGCAAGTCTGGGATGATGAGAAGTGGCTGCAGAACTTTCGGATGAGAAAAGCCACTTTCATGGGACTGTGTGAGAAGCTCGCCCCATTCTGCAGCACAAGGACATGAGACTGAGAGCTGCCCTGATGGTGGAGAAGTGGGTGGCTATTGCAATCTGGAAGCTGGCAACACCAGACAGCTACCGATCGGTTGCTAACCAGTTTGGAGTAGGAAAGTCGACCGTTGGAATCGTGTTGATGCAAGTTTGCAGGGCCATTAATTGCATCCTGCTCAGAAGACTCTGGGTAACATGCATGACATTGTGCCTGCCTTTGCACAAATGGGTTTCCCTAACTGCGAAGGGGCGATAGATGGGACACATATTCCAATTCTAGCACCAGCCCACCTAGCCTCCGAGTATGTTAATTGGAAGGGGTATTTCTCTATGGTTCTCCAGGTGTGTGTGGATCACCATGGGCATTTCATTGACATTAACGCAGGCTGGCCCAGAAAGGTATATGACGCACGCACTGGCCTGTTCAGGAAGCTGCAAGCTGGGACTTTTTTCCCAGACCAGAAGATCACCATAGGGGTAGTCAAAATGCCCATTGTGATCCTTGGAGACCCCACTTACCTTTTAATGCCATGGCTCATGAAACCCTACACAGGGAGCCTTGACAGCAGCAAGGAGTGGTTCAACAACAGGCTGAGTCGGTGCAGAATGACTGTGGAGCGTGCTTTTGGCCGTTTAAAGGGCCACTGGCGCTCTCTGTATGGAAAGCTGGACCTGGCCGATGACAATATCCCCACTGTTATATCCGCGTGCTGTACCCTCCATAACATTTGTGAAGAGAAGGATGAAAGAGTCACTCAGGAATGGAACTCAAAGGTTCAACACCTGGAGGCTGAATTTGAACAGCCAGAGAGCAGGGCTATTAGAGGGGCCCAGTGCGGGGCTTCAAGGATCGGGGATGCCTTGAGGGACCAATTGAGGCTGAAAGCCACCAGTAATGTTGAGTGGGAGTGAAGTGCAGTGGTTCCAATGTTAGTAGGAATCTGTGCTTGCTACACTGACTTGCTGTGCCTGATGCTTTCCTGGGCTAACGTATCTTTTACTTAATGCAATAATAAAGAATGTTTTCAAAGCCAAAAAAGCCATTTATTTAAAACTGCTTGGGAAACAGAAAGGGCAATGGGGTGGGATGGGGAATGGTTCAATCACAGATTTGCATATGTCCTATTCTCATACTCAGCCTTCGTATCTGGGGTGCTGTGCAACAAGTGACTGGCTAAAATGCATGGTGATGGGGTTGAGTGCAGTGGGTAAGGGTCGTAGGTTGCAGGGCTGGGTGGTGAAGCTACAGGTGTTGGAGGCAGCTGGTGGTGATAAGAACCTGGATTTGGGGAAAGTGGGTTGGAGGTGACATGGGGGCACAAGGGAAAGAGTTTTGGGACAAGGGCTGCAGGGAGGGGCGGGCACGGTAGTGCGCCGCCTGCCTGGCTATGAGCGCCTGGATCGAGTCCGCATGGTGTTCCATGATGCTTATCAGCGTCTCTGTGTTTTGTTGCCGGCACTCCGCACTTTGGTGCCGGCACTCCGCATTCTGCTGGCGGATCCTCCTTTCACTCTCCCACCGCTCCTGCCCTTTTTGATTTTCGTTAAGGGACTGCTGCATGACTTCATGCAGCATGTCTTTTTTGCTTTCATGTGGCCTCTTCCTAATTCTTTGGAGTCTTTCGGCTGGTGATAACACGGACGGCTGAGATCTCAAGGTTGCATCTGTAAAGGCAAAATGCAACACTTAACAGATTGTTCACACCAGACAAAGCAATGATTCGCCCTTTCTTAAAGACAAGCACAGTCTAACGATAGCAGAATTTGCCCATTCCAAAGCGAGTGCACATAACCCACAGGAGCCCCAAAATGATGAGTAAGCACAGGGTCAAGGGGGACTGATTTTTTCATGGCCGAACTGTCCTCTGGGGATCTGTGTCTTGGGGAGAGCCAATAGCTGCAGGGGGCCCCTATACTGAACACTCTCCCTACATTTTCCATAGATGTTCGTCCTCAAAGATGTCTCACTGCCGACGGTGACCTGGGAAGCAAGGGAGGGTCTTCTACTACAATGCGGCTTCGGCCCTGGCCCTGGCCCATATGCAGCTTGTCTGTCTGCAGCAATGGTCCCCCCGCCCCTCACGGCACAGTGGCGCGGACATGTTAGCCTGACTGGGACAAGGAGTACAGTAGCACTCCCAAGGAACCTGTGCAAGCGCATTGCACAGCTTCTGAATGAGACCTTTGAAGAGATCACTGAGGCTGATTACCGCGATGTGAGAGACACATCAACGCCCTATTCCGCATCTAGGTATGCATGCAGCCCTAACCCTCCTCGCCCCAAGAGCCCACACCGAATAACTTATTTCCCAAAATAAAAGCCCCTTACC